CCTTTTTTGTATAAAAATGTTATAGGTGCATGCATATATACATATATATATAAAGAGAGATATATGTGTGTTTGTATATATATATATAAGTATATGTGTGTAGGCTCTATTTTTGTACAACATGATCTATTGTATTTATTTTTCTACACAAGTAGTCTATACATATAACCCCGACAGATATACTATGTATTCAGTAGAAAGTGCTTTTGAGAATCATGTTTTGTATTGTTGAGAATCTTAATAATCTAACATCACAGAACAACAATAAATAGAACAGAGCCATAAAAGTATAATAATTAACAAGAGTAGAACAATGAGAGCACTAGAGCTAATAGAAGAATCCACACTTTGGACTAGGTCAAATGTAAACAACAACAAACATGTGGCCTTACAGCTATCATAGCTACTTAGAATGCCATCAAGACTGGCCTGATATTCCCTTACTGCCATCAAGACTGGCCTGATATTCCCTTTTGTTACACAAGATTTACAAATGAAGCTAACATCTTCCCAGGTCAATGACCTTTGGACATTATGCACTGCCATCCAACATTGTCATTTTCCTTACCATTATCCACATTGACCCCCCCCCCCCCCCCAAATCAGTAGGAAATCAAGGCCTAAATTTCTATTAACAATTAACCCTAAACGTATTCCTTAATTTAAATGTAACCTTAATGAAAAGGTTGGATTAAGGTTTGTTAAAGGGTTTGCTTTAAAGATAAGGTAATGAAATATTTGAGAAACAAATTGTAACCTTAATCAAAAGGTTGGATTAGGGTTTGTTAAAAGGTTTGCTTTAAAGATAAGGTAATGAAATATTTCAGGAAACAAAATGTAACGTGAACCCGTCTTGTTTCTATGAAAGTTAATCACCGTGGGCTCATGTCCAATTTACAATCTGCAGGAACACAACATTATTAGCTATTTACAAAATCTTGTCAAACTAATATCATGTGACATAAAACTTACCATCAAAATAGGTACAGCCAATGAACAATGTCTATAAATAGACGACAATGACTTAAGCAAACTAAACGTTGAGCATGTAACCAGAAGACTATGAGCAAAGATCACTAGGTAAAAGGGTGCTCAAATATTCAACCCTCACACATTTTACATTGCTCTATTCAACCCTCACACATTTTACATTGCTATATTCAACCCTCACACATTTTACATTGCTATATTCAACCCTCACACATTTTACATTGCTATATTCAACCCTCAAACTTACATTGCTATATTCAACCCTCACACAACTTACATTGCTATATTCAACCCTCACACAACTTACATTGCTATATTCAACCCTCACACAACTTACATTGCTATATTCAACCCTCACACAACTTACATTGCTATATTCAACCCTCACACAACTTACATTGCTATATTCAACCCTCACACAACTTACATTGCTATATTCAACCCTCACACAACTTACATTGCTATATTCAACCCTCACACATTTTACATTGCTATATTCAACCATCACACAACTTACATTGCTATATTCAACCCTCACACATTTTACATTGCTATATTCAACCCTCACACATTTTACATTGCTATATTCAACCCTCACACAACTTACATTGCTATATTCAACCCTCACACAACTTACATTGCTATATTCAACCCTCACACATTTTACATTGCTATATTCAACCATCACACATTTTACATTGCTATATTCAACCCTCACACAACTTACATTGCTATATTCAACCCTCACACAACTTACATTGCTATATTCAACCCTCACACATTTTACATTGCTATATTCAACCATCACACATTTTACATTGCTATATTCAACCCTCACACAACTTACATTGCTATATTCAACCCTCACACAACTTACATTGCTATATTCAACCCTCACACATTTTACATTGCTATATTCAACCCTCACACATTTTACATTGCTATATTCAACCCTCACACAACTTACATTGCTATATTCAACCCTCACACAACTTACATTGCTATATTCAACCCTCACACAACTTACATTGCTATATTCAACCCTCACACAACTTACATTGCTATATTCAACCCTCACACAACTTACATTGCTATATTCAACCCTCACACAACTTACATTGCTATATTCAACCCTCACACAACTTACATTGCTATATTCAACCCTCACACAACTTACATTGCTATATTCAACCCTCACACAACTTACATTGCTATATTCAACCCTCACACATTTTACATTGCTATATTCAACCCTCACACATTTTACATTGCTATATTCAACCCTCACACAACTTACATTGCTATATTCAACCCTCACACAACTTACATTGCTATATTCAACCCTCACACATTTTACATTGCTATATTCAACCATCACACAACTTACATTGCTATATTCAACCCTCACACAACTTACATTGCTATATTCAACCCTCACACAACTTACATTGCTATATTCAACCCTCACACAACTTACATTGCTATATTCAACCCTCACACATTTTACATTGCTATATTCAACCCTCACACAACTTACATTGCTATATTCAACCCTCACACAACTTACATTGCTATATTCAACCCTCAACCATTTTACATTGCTATATTCAACCCTCACACAACTTACATTGCTATATTCAACCCTCACACATTTTACATTGCTCTATTCAACCCTCACACATTTTACATTGCTATATTCAACCATCACACATTTTACATTGCTATATTCAACCATCACACATTTTACATTGCTATATTCAACCATCACACAACTTACATTGCTATATTCAACCATCACACATTTTACATTGCTATATTCAACCATCACACATTTTACATTGCTATATTCAACCCTCACACAACTTACATTGCTATATTCAACCCTCACACAACTTACATTGCTATATTCAACCCTCACACAACTTACATTGCTATATTCAACCCTTACACAGCTTATTACATTGCTATATTCAACCCTCACACAGCTTACATTGCTATATTCAACCATCACACAACTTACATTGCTATATTCAACCATCACACATTTTACATTGCTATATTCAACCATCACACATTTTACATTGCTATATTTAACCCTCACACATTTTACATTGCTATATTCAACCCTCACACAACTTACATTGCTATATTCAACCCTTACACAACTTACATTGCTATATTCAACCCTCACACAACTTACATTGCTATATTCAACCCTCACACATTTTACATTGCTATATTCAACCCTCACACATTTTACATTGCTATATTCAACCCTCACACAACTTACATTGCTATATTCAACCCTCACACATTTTACATTGCTATATTCAACCCTCACACAACTTACATTGCTATATTCAACCCTCACACATTTTACATTGCTCTATTCAACCCTCACACATTTTACATTGCTATATTCAACCCTCACACATTTTACATTGCTATATTCAACCCTCACACATTTTACATTGCTATATTCAACCCTCACACATTTTACATTGCTATATTCAACCCTCACACATTTTACATTGCTATATTCAACCCTCACACAACTTACATTGCTATATTCAACCCTCACACATTTTACATTGCTATATTCAACCCTCACACATTTTACATTGCTATATTCAACCCTCACACAACTTACATTGCTATATTCAACCCTCACACATTTTACATTGCTATATTCAACCCTCACACAACTTACATTGCTATATTCAACCCTCACACATTTTACATTGCTATATTCAACCCTCACACATTTTACATTGCTATATTCAACCCTCACACAACTTACATTGCTATATTCAACCCTCACACATTTTACATTGCTATATTCAACCCTCACACAACTTACATTGCTATATTCAACCCTCACACATTTTACATTGCTATATTCAACCATCACACAACTTACATTGCTATATTCAACCCTCACACATTTTACATTGCTATATTCAACCCTCACACAACTTACATTGCTATATTCAACCCTCACACAACTTACATTGCTATATTCAACCCTCACACATTTTACATTGCTATATTCAACCCTCACACATTTTACATTGCTATATTCAACCCTCACACAACTTACATTGCTATATTCAACCCTCACACAACTTACATTGCTATATTCAACCATCACACATTTTACATTGCTATATTCAACCCTCACACATTTTACATTGCTATATTCAACCCTCACACAACTTACATTGCTATATTCAACCCTCACACATTTTACATTGCTATATTCAACCCTCACACATTTTACATTGCTATATTCAACCCTCACACAACTTACATTGCTATATTCAACCCTCACACATTTTACATTGCTATATTCAACCATCACACAACTTACATTGCTATATTCAACCCTCACACATCTTACATTGCTATATTCAACCCTCACACATTTTACATTGCTATATTCAACCCTCACACAACTTACATTGCTATATTCAACCATCACACATTTTACATTGCTATATTCAACCCTCACACAACTTACATTGCTATATTCAACCCTCACACAACTTACATTGCTATATTCAACCCTCACACATTTTACATTGCTATATTCAACCCTCACACAACTTACATTGCTATATTCAACCCTCACACATTTTACATTGCTATATTCAACCCTCACACAACTTACATTGCTATATTCAACCCTCACACAACTTACATTGCTATATTCAACCCTCACACAACTTACATTGCTATATTCAACCCTCACACAACTTACATTGCTATATTCAACCCTCACACATTTTACATTGCTATATTCAACCCTCACACAACTTACATTGCTATATTCAACCCTCACACATCTTACATTGCTATATTCAACCCTCACACATTTTACATTGCTATATTCAACCCTCACACAACTTACATTGCTATATTCAACCCTCACACATCTTACATTGCTATATTCAACCATCACACAACTTACATTGCTATATTCAACCCTCACACAACTTACATTGCTATATTCAACCCTCACACAACTTACATTGCTATATTCAACCCTCACACAACTTACATTGCTATATTCAACCCTCACACATTTTACATTGCTATATTCAACCCTCACACAACTTACATTGCTATAATATCGAACATTAAACTTAAAATAGGTGTAAACTTTGTACGAATAACTTTAAAATGGTTTACTTATAAAAAAATTAGATGCTGTACACAAAAAAATGTGTGCATATTTGCACAGACTAGGAAAGAAAATGGCTGAAATGGAGCAGAAACGTGGCCGCCAGTAAGATCAAATGCCCTTGTTCTGAGAGTGAATGCCCTTGTCCTATTGACATCCAATCCTACAACCTGGCTCCATCTGAAAGGCATAAGCATATCATCAGACTTGACATCTATATATATGTAACTAGCGTAGTTACTAGGGACGATGAGAACGTAATACAGTCTGTCAACTAAAGACTATTGCAAGAACGCATTACAGTCTGACGCAATGGTGCAGGTGGTGGACTGATAACGAACATAAAGCCACGGCGTATCTTGGGAAACGATACGACAAAGCCGCTGCGCAGTTCATAGTCTGATGCAACAAATGGTAATTATTACGAATACGAGGGGATATATGGGAAGGCGACTGCTAGATAGAGGCAGTACCAAGTTGGAGGCTGAACGGTGTAGATGGAACGATGGACACGTGCATTCTGTTATGTTAGGACTAGTGAGGACAGTGGGGGTCAGTTGGTTCATTGTATTCTTGTGGAACATTGATGCATTGTTATGTGGAGCATTTCTATTGATTCATGTAATAAAGAGATCAATGTAAACCTGCATTTCCGAGTATCTATATTGTGGTCGATGTTGTGTGCTGGTCAAAGGTAGCACGAGTAAATACACTCGGTAACATTTGGCGCTGTCAGCAGTGAAATCGGTAACATTTGGCACTACAAGTAAATAGACTCGGTAACATATATAATTCTCTTCTGGGAGCCGTTAGAAAACAAGCTGCAAGCACGCGCCTTGCAGTCCCCTCTCTTCCTCTCTATCGCTACCATCCAACCCCCACCCCCCTCACATGGTCAGATGAGTTGTAGTTCACGCTGTTTACATTTTACAATCGGAGACCGGGTTTGGTGACGGCTATTAGGGGCAGATAATTCAGTTTGAAACTATTTTAAACTTAGGAGGTAACTAAGAGGAAGCTGCTTTCACAGGGGGGGAGGGGGGGGGGGGGGAATGGGGGTTTAGTGTTTTAAAGCAAATATTTTCAGTGGCAGCATTGGTACTGTCGAATTCACAAATTATGAATTACTGAAAAGTAGAAAAAAACAACTAAATAGCGGTGTATGATACACAGCAGGTCGGCTCGTTTTAAATATTTATGGTACATCCTGCTGGTGCCCAAGACAAATGGGGCAGATGAAGTAGAGTTTATCTGATTCAAAGACATTGGCACACAAGGGGATAGTATGGTGAGTTCTACGCCTAGCCGCTGTTGTTTACCAAATGTGATTCAGGTAACCATTAAAGCTGGGTGGAGACAGGCACATCCTACATACTTCAGCCCAGGGTCCGAACTCAAGGCTTTTGGGTTGGCTGTTGTAAGCTCTTACATCTGACCACCCTGTCACCCATTTATAGCCCTTTCTTATAACCATCTCACCAGAGATTAGCCCCCCCCCCCCCCTCATTCACCAGAGATTAGCCCCACTTACCCCCTCATTCACCAGAGATTAGCCCAACTCACCCACTGACCCTCCTAATTCACCAGAGATTAGCCCCACTTACCCCCCCCCCTCATTCACCAGAGATTAGCCCCACTCACCCACTGACCCCCCTCATTCACCAGAGATTAGCCCCCCCCCCCTCATTCACCAGAGATTAGCCCCACTGTCACCCACTGACCCCCCTCATTCACCAGAGATTAGCCCCTTACCCCCCCCCCCCCTCATTCACCAGAGAATAGCCCCACTCACCCACTGACCCTCCTCATTCACCAGAGATTAGCCCCACTTACCCCCCCCCCCTCATTCACCAGAGATTAGCCCCACTCACCCACTGACCCCCCTCATTCACCAGAGATTAGCCCCCCCCCCTCATTCACCAGAGATTAGCCCCACTCACCCACTGACCCCCCTCATTCACCAGAGATTAGCCCCACTGTCACCCACTGACCCCCTCATTCACCAGAGATTAGCCCCACTTACACCCCTCATTCACCAGAGATTAGCCCCACTGACCCCCCTCATTCACCAGAGATTAGCCCCACTTACCCCCCTCATTCACCAGAGATTAGCCCCACTCACCCCCCTCATTCACCAGAGATTAGCCCCACTGTCACCCACTGACCCTAATTCACCAGAGATTAGCCCCACTGTCACCCACTGACCCTAATTCACCAGAGATTAGCCCCACTCACCCCCCTCATTCACCAGAGATTAGCCCCACTGTCACCCACTGACCCTAATTCACCAGAGATTAGCCCCACTCACCCACTGACCCCCCTCATTCACCAGAGATTAGCCCCACTTACCCCCCTCATTCACCAGAGATTAGCCCCACTTACCCCCCTCATTCACCAGAGATTAGCCCCACTTACCCCCCTCATTCACCAGAGATTAGCCCCACTTACCCCCCTCATTCACCAGAGATTAGCCCCACTTACCCCCCTCATTCACCAGAGATTAGCCCCACTTACCCCCCTCATTCACCAGAGAATAGCCCCACTGACCCTCCTCATTCACCAGAGATTAGCCCCACTTACCCCCCTCATTCACCAGAGATTAGCCCCACTGTCACCCACTTACCCCCCTCATTCACCAGAGATTAGCCCCACTGACCCCCCTCATTCACCAGAGATTAGCCCCACTCACCCACTGACCCTCCTCATTCACCAGAGATTAGCCCCACTGACCCTCCTCATTCACCAGAGATTAGCCCCCCCCCTCATTCACCAGAGATTAGCCCCCCCCCTCATTCACCAGAGATTAGCCCCACTTACCCCCCTCATTCACCAGAGATTAGCCCCACTTACCCCCCTCATTCACCAGAGATTAGCCCCACTGTCACCCACTGACCCCCTCATTCACCAGAGATTAGCCCCACTTACCCCCCTCATTCACCAGAGATTAGCCCCCCCCCCTCATTCACCAGAGATTAGCCCCACTTACCCTCCTCATTCACCAGAGATTAGCCCCACTGACCCTCCTCATTCACCAGAGATTAGCCCCACTTACCCCCCTCATTCACCAGAGATTAGCCCCACTGTCACCCACTGACCCCCTCATTCACCAGAGATTAGCCCCACTTACCCCCCTCATTCACCAGAGATGAGCCCCACTTACCCCCCTCATTCACCAGAGTTTAGCCCCACTTACCCCCCTCATTCACCAGAGATTAGCCCCACTTACCCCCCTCATTCACCAGAGATTAGCCCCACTTACCCCCTCATTCACCAGAGATTAGCCCCACTTACCCCCTCATTCACCAGAGATTAGCCCCACTGTCACCCACTGACACCCCTCATTCACCAGAGATTAGCCCCACTTACCCCCCTCATTCACCAGAGATTAGCCCCACTGTCACCCACTGACCCTCCTCATTCACCAGAGATTAGCCCCACTGTCACCCCTCATTCACCAGAGATTAGCCCCACTGTCACCCACTGACCCCCCTCATTCACCAGAGATTAGCCCCACTTACCCCCCTCATTCACCAGAGATTAGCCCCACTGTCACCCACTGACCCCCCTCATTCACCAGAGATTAGCCCCACTGTCACCCACTGACCCCCTCATTCACCAGAGATTAGCCCCACTTACCCCCTCATTCACCAGAGATTAGCCCCACTTACCCCCCTCATTCACCAGAGATTAGCCCCACTTACCCCCTCATTCACCAGAGATTAGCCCCCCCCCCCCTCATTCACCCGAGATTAGCCCCCCCCCCCTCCTCATTCACCAGAGATTAGCCCCACTTACCCCCCTCATTCACCAGAGATTAGCCCCACTTACCCCCCTCATTCACCAGAGATTAGCCCCACTTACCCCCCTCATTCACCAGAGATTAGCCCCACTTACCCCCCTCATTCACCAGAGATTAGCCCCACTGTCACCCACTGACCCCCCTCATTCACCAGAGATTAGCCCCACTTACCCCCCCCTCATTCACCAGAGATTAGCCCCACTTACCCCCCTCATTCACCAGAGATTAGCCCCACTGTCACCCACTTACCCCCCTCATTCACCAGAGATTAGCCCCACTGTCACCCACTTACCCCCCTCATTCACCAGAGATTAGCCCCACTGTCACCCACTTACCCCCCTCATTCACCAGAGATTAGCCCCACTGTCACCCACTTACCCCCCTCATTCACCAGAGATTAGCCCCACTTACCCCCCTCATTCACCAGAGATTAGCCCCACTTACCCCCCTCATTCACCAGAGATTAGCCCCCACCAGAAGATTCCTGCTACAAATTAGCCCAGGGTCAATTCACCTGCTGTCAAGCATGGCAGCTAGGGTCTAGTAGGGAATGTAGCAGCTAGGGTCTAGTAGGGAATGTAGCAGCTGGGGTCTAGTAGGGAATGTAGCAGCTGGGGTCTAGTAGGGAATGTAGCAGCTGGGGTCTAGTAGGGAATGTAGCAGCTAGGGTCTAGTAGGGAATGTAGCAGCTGGGGTCTAGTAGGGAATGTAGCAGCTGGGGTCTAGTAGGGAATGTAGCAGCTGGGGTCTAGTAGGGAATGTAGCAGCTGGGGTCTAGTAGGGAATGTAGCAGCTGGGGTCTAGTAGGGAATGTAGCAGCTGGGGTCTGGTAGGAAATGTAGCAGCTAGGGTCTAGTAGGGAATGTAGCAGCTGGGGTCTAGTAGGGAATGTAGCAGCTGGGGTCTAGTAGGGAATGTAGCAGCTGGGGTCTAGTAGGGAATGTAGCAGCTGGGGTCTAGTAGGGAATGTAGCAGCTGGGGTCTAGTAGGGAATGTAGCAGCTGGGGTCTAGTAGGGAATGTAGCAGCTGGGGTCTAGTAGGGAATGTAGCAGCTGGGGTCTAGTAGGGAATGTAGCAGCTGGGGTCTAGTAGGGAATGTAGCAGCTGGGGTCTAGTAGGGAATGTAGCAGCTGGGGTCTAGTAGGGAATGTAGCAGCTGGGATCTAGTAGGGAATGTAGCAGCTGGGATCTAGTAGGGAATGTAGCAGCTGGGGTCTAGTAGGGATTGTAGCAGCTAGGATCTGGTAGGGAGCTAGGTGTAGGTCAATTTCTACTTACATGAATTCGAGCTCTCTTGTACAGGTGAGTTGAGAGCTACAGGCTCATACTGAGGAGCTGTTGGCAGGGTAGATTCAGATATGTCGGCTGTTTGGGGTGTCACTCCACTGTAGGTGTGGATCTCATCTGGATAGGGGGCCCCACTAGCTGGCTGATGTGTCTCATGTGTGGGTGAGTAGGAGCCCCCACTAGGCTGGGGGTATGGGGCTCCTCTAGGTTCGGGGTAGGAAGTCTCACTATGCTGGGGGTAGGGGAACTCACCAGGCTGGGGGTAGGGGGCTCCAGTAGGTTGTGGGTAGGGGGCACCACTAGGTTGTGGGTAGGGGGCACCACTAGGTTGTGGGTAGGGGGCACCACTAGGTTGTGGGTAGGGGGCTCCAGTAGGTTGTGGGTAGGGGGCACCACTAGGTTGTGGGTAGGGGGCTCCAGTAGGTTGTGGGTAGGGGGCGCCACTACAAGGTGGGTATGGAACATTGGAATATGGATAAGGAACATCACTTGGAGGTGGGAAGGGCATATCTTGGTAAGATGCGGGTGCTCCGTGCCCCATGGGTGGGGGGTATCCTGTTCCCAGAGCTTCACTTGTTTTAGCTGCAAACAAAAGGTTGGATGCTCAAGTTAGATTCCATTTCATAACCAACACTCAATTGAGCACATGTGCTCAAACTCTCCAGCTCAAACACATCAACTTACCCAAAGGTGGGTAGGGTTCTCCATGTCATACCACATCCAAACACATCAACTTACCCAAAGGTGGGTAGGGTTCTCCATGTCATACCACATCCAAACACATCAACTTACCCAAAGGTGGGTAGGGTTCTCCATGTCATACCACATCCAAACACATCAACTTACCCAAAGGTGGGTAGGGTTCTCCATGTCATACCACATCCAAACACATCAACTTACCCAAAGGTGGGTAGGGTTCTCCATGTCATACCACATCCAAACAAATCAACTTACCCAAAGGTGGGTAGGGTTCTCCGTGTGATACCACATCAGCATACGATGGTGGAGGTTGAGCTGGTTTTTCCTCATGGGCTAATGCTGGGAGGAAAATAACAAACATTTGAATACACATCACTGTAGCTGTGTACATAAAACATTTGAATACACATTTGAGAAATTAGAAATGGAGTAAGTACCTCATCTATTTATATTATTCACTGGTTACCAAAAATCGCTCAAAAGTTGATACAGAACTACAAATTTGATATAATGCTTCTATCTAAAATTTTGTCGACCTAAATGAAACGGTATGCAAGTTATCAAGTTTACACACATATAGACAGGATTGTAAAATCAAGTTTTTCCCGCTCTGGAAGGTTGTATAAATAATGTCAACATATCAATCTAGATTTTTGTATTGGCTCTGGAAGGTTGTATAAATAATGTCAACATATCAATCTAGATTTTTGTATTGGCTCTGGAAGGTTGTATAAATAATGTCAACATATCAATCTAGATTTTTGTATTGGCTCTGGAAGGTTGTATAAATAATGTCAACATATCAATCTAGATTTTTGTATTGGCTCTGGAAGGTTGTATAAATAATGTCAACATATCAATCTAGATTTTTGTATTGGCTCTGGAAGGTTGTATAAATAATGTCAACATATCAATCTAGATTTTTGTATTGGCTCTGGAAGGTTGTATAAATAATGTCAACATATCAATCTAGATTTTTGTATTGGCTCTGGAAGGTTGTATAATTAATGTCAACATATCAATCTAGATTTTTGTATTGGCTCTGGAAGGTTGTATAATTAATGTCAACATATCAATCTAGATTTTTGTATTGGCTCTGGAAGGTTGTATAAATAATGTCAACATATCAATCTAGATTTTTGTATTGGCTCTGGAAGGTTGTATAAATAATGTCAACATATCAATCTAGATTTTTGTATTGGCTCTGGAAGGTTGTATAAATAATGTCAACATATCAATCTAGATTTTTGTATTGGCTCTGGAAGGTTGTATAAATAATGTCAACATATCAATCTAGATTTTTGTATTGGCTCTGGAAGGTTGTATAAATAATGTCAACATATCAATCTAGATTTTTGTATTGGCTCTGGAAGGTTGTATAAATAATGTCAACATATCAATCTAGATTTTTGTATTGGCTCTGGAAGGTTGTATAAATAATGTCAACATATCAATCTAGATTTTTGTATTGGCTCTGGAAGGTTGTATAATTAATGTCAACATATCAATCTAGATTTTTGTATTGGCTCTGGAAGGTTGTATAAATAATGTCAACATATCAATCTAGATTTTTGTATTGGCTCTGGAAGGTTGTATAAATAATGTCAACATATCAATCTAGATTTTTGTATTGGCTCTGGAAGGTTGTATAAATAATGTCAACATATCAATCTAGATTTTTGTATTGGCTCTGGAAGGTTGTATAAATAATGTCAACATATCAATCTAGATTTTTGTATTGGCTCTGGAAGGTTGTATAAATAATGTCAACATATCAATCTAGATTTTTGTATTGGCTCTGGAAGGTTGTATAAATAATGTCAACATATCAATCTAGATTTTTGTATTGGCTCTGGAAGGTTGTATAAATAATGTCAACATATCAATCTAGATTTTTGTATTGGCTCTGGAAGGTTGTATAATTAATGTCAACATATCAATCTAGATTTTTGTATTGGCTCTGGAAGGTTGTATAATTAATGTCAACATATCAATCTAGATTTTTGTATTGGCTCTGGAAGGTTGTATAATTATTGTCAACATATCAATCTAGATTTTTGTATTGGCTCTGGAAGGTTGTATAAATAATGTCAACATATCAATCTAGATTTTTGTATTGGCTCTGGAAGGTTGTATAAATAATGTCAACATATCAATCTAGATTTTTGTATTGGCTCTGGAAGGTTGTATAATTAATGTCAACATATCAATCTAGATTTTTGTATTGGCTCTGGAAGGTTGTATAAATAATGTCAACATATCAATCTAGATTTTTGAATTGGCTCTGGAAGGTTGTATAATTAATGTCAACATATCAATCTAGATTTTTGTATTGGCTCTGGAAGGTTGTATAAATAATGTCAACATATCAATCTAGATTTTTGTATTGGCTCTGGAAGGTTGTATAATTAATGTCAACATATCAATCTAGATTTTTGTATTGGCTCTGGAAGGTTGTATAAATAATGTCAACATATCAATCTAGATTTTTGTATTGGCTCTGGAAGGTTGTATAAATAATGTCAACATATCAATCTAGATTTTTGTATTGGCTCTGGAAGGTTGTATAAATAATGTCAACATATCAATCTAGATTTTTGTATTGGCTCTGGAAGGTTGTATAATTAATGTCAACATATCAATCTAGATTTTTGTATTGGCTCTGGAAGGTTGTATAATTAATGTCAACATATCAATCTAGATTTTTGTATTGGCTCTGGAAGGTTGTATAAATAATGTCAACATATCAATCTAGATTTTTGTATTGGCTCTGGAAGGTTGTATAAATAATGTCAACATATCAATCTAGATTTTTGTATTGGCTCTGGAAGGTTGTATAAATAATGTCAACATATCAATCTAGATTTTTGTATTGGCTCTGGAAGGTTGTATAAATAATGTCAACATATCAATCTAGATTTTTGTATTGGCTCTGGAAGGTTGTATAAATAATGTCAACATATCAATCTAGATTTTTGTATTGGCTCTGGAAGGTTGTATAAATAATGTCAACATATCAATCTAGATTTTTGTATTGGCTCTGGAAGGTTGTATAAATAATGTCAACATATCAATGTAGATTTTTGTATTGGCTCTGGAAGGTTGTATAAATAATGTCAACATATCAATCTAGATTTTTGTATTGGCTCTGGAAGGTTGTATAATTAATGTCAACATATCAATCTAGATTTTTGTATTGGCTCTGGAAGGTTGTATAAATAATGTCAACATATCAATGTAGATTTTTGTATTGGCTCTGGAAGGTTGTATAAATAATGTCAACATATCAATCTAGATTTTTGTATTGGCTCTGGAAGGTTGTATAAATAATGTCAACATATCAATCTAGATTTTTGTATTGGCTCTGGAAGGTTGTATAAATAATGTCAACATATCAATCTAGATTTTTGTATTGGCTCTGGAAGGTTGTATAATTAATGTCAACATATCAATCTAGATTTTTGTATTGGCTCTGGAAGGTTGTATAAATAATGTCAACATATCAATCTAGATTTTTGTATTGGCTCTGGAAGGTTGTATAAATAATGTCAACATATCAATCCAGATTTTTGTATTGGCTCTGGAAGGTTGTATAAATAATGTCAACATATCAATCCAGATTTTTGTATTGGCTCTGGAAGGTTGTATAAATAATGTCAACATATCAATCTAGATTTTTGTATTGGCTCTGGAAGGTTGTATAATTAATGTCAACATATCAATCTAGATTTTTGTATGATACAGGGCCAGGTTTAGGAAACATTTTTTTGAATTAACCAAAACCAAAACATAAAAACAAACACAAACTTAATGCCAACACAATTGCAAATACAAGCATCCTGTCGGGGCGCCTGCGAACCCGCCTGATTCAACTTAGTAAACTGTACATCTATAATACCCCATCGTATCCATAGTCTATTACACTCACTAAAACAAATGTAGATACCATAGCGCTCATGGCGCCAAATAGCTCCTTGTTGGGGCGCCAGAGGACATTTAAACATAGAGGACATTTAGGAATGGCTTCTAAACTGTTATTGATTAAAAATAATAATTAGTAAACAATACATTCAGTGTATAAAATAAATAAAAGGTAGTATTTAAAATACCAGTGTTTTACTTACCACATTGCACTTTATTTATCCATGCTAATATTTTTTTCCAAAATCAAAACAAACGAATAAAAGAATTTAATGTTTCTTTTTGTGATCTATCAAGGAAAGTAACTGGTACCAAAGGGACAAAGGGAAGTAGATTGTCCATTTTTTTCCAGACACAATAAGTATTTTTGTGAAGGGTGATATATTTTATTTATTATATATTTTATTTGATTGTGTTCTTTCCACATTATCTATATATATAATTCTCTTCTTGGAGACGTTAGAAAACAAGATGTAAGCGCGCCTTGCAGTCCCCTCTCTTCCTCTCTAGGCATATCGCAACCGCCGCCACCCCAACATGGTCTGGTGGGCTGTGGTTCACGCTAAATGTTTATAATCGTAGAGACGGGTTTAGTGACGGCTATTAGGGGCAGATAATTTAGTTTGAAACTATTTTAAACTTAGGGGAGGAAACTAAGAGGAGGCTGCTTTCGAATTACTGAAAAGTAGAAAATAATACAACTAAATAGCGGCGTGTGATATGCCGCTGGTCGGCTCGTGCAAATTAAAATGATGAGTTTGGAAAATGAAATTTTTTTAACAAAACCATCAATATTGATTTTTCTTAATCATTAATTTAGATCAGTACTAACTTTTTGTGAGTGGTGACCCCCATTTATAAAAAGTAAGTGACCCGTAACCACAATAAAATTAAAAAGTCAATGATCGTAAGGAAATTAATAAGCACTAAAATAAGATATTCTAGTAGATTTTCAATAACTGTTTAAATGCGATGAGTGAATTAGCATGCTATTGAGTATGCAGTTGAGTTATTGTCAACATTTAATTTATTTCTTTATTTTGTTTTTCATTGGGGAAGTTTTAAAAGTCTATTCTCAAGAAGATATGTACACACAAGAGTAACTAAAAATAAAGGCGATCAATTTAATTTTGTGTATGAATGGTGCATACTACACTGAAATTGTGTTTAACACAGTATGTGATGCGGAATCATTTTGCAATTCCAATATTTCATCTTTTAATTCACCTGGAATGCTGACAACATCAAGAGAAGCAGCAGTGAATGGGTTACTTGTCAATGCAGATTCTTCTTCTTTCAGCTCAAGGGAAAATGACATTGCAGTTAGTTTTCAAGAGATTCAAGATGCCTAGAATTCCCAATAAAATTTTATTTTTATTTATTTCTCAAACATGGCCAAACTTCTAAGATTTATTTTTCTTCACCAATTTTTCAGCTTTGATAAAATTGCCCCAAGATTATCATGAAAAGAAATAATATTCGTTCATTTTCCCTGAAGCTTCAGGTTAAGCTTATGTTGATGTTCGAATATATCTTCTAGGTATAATACTCTCCCCAACCACTCTTTGTTGTTAAATTATATCAAAAGGTCCCGTATCCCTTGCACTTCCAAGAACATCATGATTTCATCTTTCAATTCATAAACACAATTCACAACATTTCTTTTTGACAGCCAGTATACTGTTGTGTGCAAAACCAGAACCTAATGATCTTTATTCATGTCTTTGCACAGTTCTTTAAACAGATGGGTGTTTAGGGCTGCAGGTTCGCATGGTTCTTTAAACAGACGGGTGTTAAGGGCTGCAGGTTCCCATGGTTTTTTAAACAGACGGGTGTTAAGGGCTGCAGGTTTGCATGGTTCTTTAAACAGACGGGTGTTAAGGGCTGCAGGTTTGCATGGTTCTTTAAACAGACGGGTGTTAAGGGCTGCAGGTTTGCATGGTTCTTTAAACAGATGGGTGTTAAGGGCTGCAGGTTTGCATGGTTCTTTAAACAGGCGGGTGTTAAGGGCTGCAGGTTCCCATGGTTCTTTAAACAGGCGGGTGTTAAGGGCTGCAGGTTTGCATGGTTCTTTAAACAGGCGGGTGTTAAGGGCTGCAGGTTCCCATGGTTCTTTAAACAGGCGGGTGTTAAGGGCTGCAGGTTTGCATGGTTCTTTAAACAGACGGGTGTTAAGGGCTGCAGGTTTGCATGGTTCTTTAAACAGACGGGTGTTAAGGGCTGCAGGTTTGCATGGTTCTTTAAACAGATGGGTGTTAAGGGCTGCAGGTTTGCATGGTTCTTTAAACAGGCGGGTGTTAAGGGCTGCAGGTTCCCATGGTTCTTTAAACAGATGGGTGTTAAGGGCTGCAGGTTTGCATGGTTCTTTAAACAGACGGGTGTTAAGGGCTGCAGGTTCAATATAATTTACGACTTTTATTAGCAATGGAATTGGACCGATTTTGACCCAAATATAGATGGTGCACCATCCGTACAAACCCTACAGCCAGCCATTTCCCATTTTAATCCTCCAGTTTCAAAAAACATTTATTTTCTCCATGATATCTTCACAAAATAGCAACTCTTCTTTGCTATCATCTGAATGAATATATTTTGCAAAGACAAGCAAATGCAAACACAAACTCACGTGTGTTGATTCATCTTCTAGAAAGGCAAGCAATGGTGAAAGCTTGATTTCATTTAAAATTTGTTCGTTAACATCTACGGATATGTCTGCTATAAGCTGCTGAATAGTATTATTAGACAGAAATATTTGTTGCATCTTTACTGTACTTGAATCCCCAAGAGTTCATTTCACCATTTTTAACATGCAGGGTTTGATGAGATTTTCTCCTATTGTGTGAGAGGTTTTTTTTTTTTTTTTGCTTAGCAATTTCTAATGTGACTTTATATGATGCTTGCACTAATGCTGTGTTTTCTTGGTGAAAACTTCCTGTTCAATCAAGTCTCTGACGTTTGCAACTAGTTTCATGCCGACGTGAGACCTCCACATCTTTTTAGGTGTGTTCCGAATGACTCGTCTCAAAATGACGTTTTAGTTTTGAAAGTTTCATAGACTCATGACGGAGAACAACTTTGCACAATTCGCATTGTTTCTTCTCTATTCCATTTCCAGTGATGTCAGTAAAGCTGAATTTCAGATATTCTTCTAAATATGTTTTCTTTTCATGGCTAGGGTTTAGTCTACCCTCCACCCCCCCCCCCCCCCCCCAGAAAGCCCTTCGCAACCCCCACAGTTTGGGAACCCATGATTTAGATCAGTTAGATATTTTCTAATCTCTTGGCATTTTTATCAAAGCTGCAAAATTGGATAAGAAAAACAAATATCAAAAATATTGCCATGTTTGAGAAACTCTGCAGTGTGGTAGATGAATCTGATTGTGAGATAAATAAAAATTTGAAAGAGGATTCTGGGCATCTTGAATTTCTTGAAAGCAAACCGCTGCATTATTTTCCCTGAGCTGAAAGAAAAAGAATCTGCATCAGCTTCCCTTGATGTTGCCAGCATTGCCAATGAATTCTTAACTTTGCAGAATCATTCCGCATCACGTATTGTTGTGTTAAATAAAAAACTGCTCAAACAATTTTGGTGTAGTATGCACCGATCATACCCAAGCAGGAAATCAATTGCCTTTTGAGTCTTAGTTCCTTTTGTGGCTTCTCAAATTACAATCAAAACAAAGAAATAAATTAAATGCTGAAAATGACATGAGGTTGACGTCTTTTAGTGTTTATTATTTTCCTCACTAATTTCGAAGTTTGGGAACCACTGATTTAGATAATTAACACTAAGAATATTACACTCGGCGACCCCAAGTTTTATACTACATTTTGTACCACTGGTCTGCTGTCCACCTGCCACATACAGAGACACAAGCGTCCATTTGAGCTTTATATATAAGATTAAAATACTCCCTCTATACTCTGTATAAGAAAGTAAAAAAATCATTTGGAACTAATCTTTTAAGGTAAGTGGCAGCTTGAGTGTGATCATGTTAGAATAAAAGACCTGATGTAAAGATATAGTTACCATAGCCTGGATCTGCACTGTTGAGCGGGACTGTCTGGGGACCACAGTATCTCTGGCTGGATCCTAAAGGGTTAACAAAAAAAACATGTACTGACACATGCCCCAACACAAGCATTTATCACCAACAACAATCAGGTAACATCAAGAACTATACAATCAGCACAATAAGAAAATATTTTTACCTCTTTTGGAAAATTTGCGAATTATTTTTCCAGCCTGCTTCCGTTTTTTGCAACACAAAGCTCCAACAGCAACAATGACCACAACAGCAACAATAATTCCTACAATAGTTCCAACTGACATGTTTGTAGCTTTGTTTCTTTCATGTAGCCTAAATGGTTGGAAAAAAATCACATGAACTTATTTTTTAGTTTTAGTGCTGAGGAAATATAAAATTAATTAGATGAAATATAAAATTACTTAGTTTTAATGCTATTTTATCAAAAACATCATTCCTGAAGCAATCAAAACTCAAAACTTCTCCCCACCTTGGATCTCCCACTGTCATTTAACCATTAGTGACTCAATAGACACCATAGAAAGAAAATCTGACTATGATCAAGAAGAACTAAAGAAAATAACAAATAAGCACATTAAGGATCAGTACCCTAGCAATACCTGGATTAGGGTATTTACAGATGGCTCAGCTGAAGATGCCACAAAAAATGGCGGGGCTGGCATCCTTATTGAATGGCCAAGGGGAGAAAGCCTGGAAAAGTCAATAGCCACAGGCAGCCTATCCGACAATTTTAGGGCAGAAAAAGAAGCTATAGAGCATGCAGCAAACCTCCTGTCAGAACACCCTGAATCACCAAATAGTCAGATAGTATTTCTTACAGATGCCAAATCTGTCCTGCAATCCCTAAAAAATCCAGAGTCCTATACTCAATCACTTAGGACAGCACTAGAAAGGCTAATAAATACCTGCAGCAGAATTGTGCTGCAGTTGATCCCGGGCGACTGCCAGATCCAGGGTAATGAGATTGCGGACCAGCTGGCAAAAATTGGGGGAAAGAAACAACAACCGGAAATTCGCTACACCCAAAAGAAATAAAAAGAATAATAAAAAACAAACAAACGCAAATGTGGTCTGACACACACCCTCACTACAATAAAGATGATGGATATTATAATTTGACACGAAAACAACAATACATAATCTTTTGACTAACAGGACATAACAGACTAAATCAACACATGCATAAAAAACTAAAGGTTGGGTGTGGCGAAATGTGCCCTTGTGGCAAGGCCCCGGAAAATACGGAGCACGTCCTTCAGGAATGTTCTTTGTATAGCCAGGCGCAAGTCAGACACTGGCCCCTGCTCACCCCACTCAGGGAAAAATTATATGGGGCACCTGCTGATCTGAAGACCACAGTCCGATTTGTTCACGAAGTTGGACTTGTTGTCTAAATCCTCCACCATATTCTCAATTAAGAACGAAGAAGAAGAAGAAGAAGAAGTGCTATTTTGGGGTTTTGGGAATCCATGTCTTAGCATCTTTCATGACAACTTACATGAAATAGGCTTCAGCTTCTGATTCATTACAACAGTATTCCCTTTTGTCTGGGCCACAACAGTAGACAGCATTGAGAGATTCATTCTCTCGTGGACAAATGAAATAGCCATAGACTGTACCTGAAGGGCTTTTTTCTTTGTTATTGGTACAGATTGTTGGCACTAAATAGACACAAACATCATGGTCAATTCAAAACTGACACCAATCTAAAATTATTTTAAATAGTCAAATAAATCTAGTAAACAAATACAAAAATTCTTCATACAGAAAGCTAATAAACAGACAAAAAGACACTTCAAAACAAAGAGACTGCCTAAAAATACTTTTTTTAAAACCACGTAAGTAGTTAGCAATCTTAGCAACAGTTAACTGCCCATTCTTAGTCTGTGTTCCATTTTTGGACAAGAAACCAACCAGCTGTGACCTTTTAGTACTTAAAGTTGTTATTTTCCCCCTTTCGATAAGTGGGACGAATCTTTTAATAATTTTTAATGACAGTTTAATAGGTGATTAAATTAAAAAATTGCATTATCATCAACGATAAATGCATCTAGAAAGTTTGGACAAACTCACTACATTAAAACTGAGTCAAAATTGAGTTACAAGATTTGCCTCAAATAAGACTTAATCAGCTAAAATAAACATATAAAAAAATCAGTCAGTCTGCGGAAAAATATCGGTGGACAATTTTCAATGAGATGAAACGTGAATTTCCATTTTTAAAATGTGGAAAAGTTACATTTATGATAAAAAAATCCTTGAAATCAGACAGATAGACAATCACTTAACTACTAATCAAAACATCTGGTCCTACGACTGATCCCTTTGGATGGTAAAAATACCTTTAATTGGCACTACTTACTTTTATTGCTATGTGGATAAAGCTTACGGTAGCGCATGCTACCATAAATCATCCCGGCAGATGCTGCCACCATCCATGTTGAGCTGGTATAAGGACTACTACCTCCAACTATTCGACCGGATAGTGGAATGCGTGACATTACTCTGTTGTTTCTTGAAAAAGTTCCAGAACTTCTACCAATCCGACTTCTGCTGCTACGACCTCCACTTCGTCTTCCATCGACCCCTCCAAAGGCTAAATCAATTGAAAAAGTAGTTCTATGAATAACAGCATCGACTACCATGGGAAAACATTTGACATTGATAGAACTTTATATAACTATTTAACAATACTGTTTAGGACAAAAATTTACTAATGTAAAGTAGTTTTGGTTAACTCAGACAGAAATTCTATTTAATGTACAAATGAACATGAGGTTAATTAAACCGGAAGTGATCTCCCCTAAACTTTCTCCAATATTTTTATATAAAACAACAGGGGATGGTAACTCGGGATATAGTTATGATTTTTAATCCATTTTAAATATTTAAACTTTTTAAAATAGAATAGAATCTCATAAAAAAAGAATTGCGCACCAAGTAAACGCCAAATAAAGATGTGTATAATAGTGCGGAATATTATTAGTACATTATAAATTCACATGCGTTTTTTGAGAAATCGGAAATAGCGTAAATTAGTACTTCCGGTCAACGGAAATTACTCAAATTTTGACAGAAGGTATAGATATAGGTCTTTTACTTACATGTGAAATTTCATTTATCTATCTGAAATAGTACTCAGATTATAGGCTTTTGAAAAATTCAAAGTAGAAAAAGTACCACTTCCGGTTATCGGAAATCTCTCAAAAGTTGATAAGGATCTACGATTTTGATAAAATACTTATATATAAAATTTCATTAAACTAGCTGTAACGGTACTCTGTTATTTTAAATACACCATTAACTTCCTTACCCCTTAAGAGAACTTTCGACACCAAATTTAAATATCTAGCTTACTCGGTTGACGAGAAAAGAGAGAATTTAAAAATTATCTTAGAATGGAAAATGGATGAGGAAACAGCATTCTTGCTCCTCGACAGGCATAACATTACGTCGTAAACTTGTGTACACGAGCTTTTCATTCCCGCCATGGTAATTGCGTCAGCTTAGGTTATTTACTCACCGGAAAATAACAAAAAGCAACTGGTTGATAATAAAACTAGATCTAGTTATTTTATTATTTATTAAATTCTACTCTACATGTTATTCATACCATTTTATGAAATAATGAACAGCTGCATAAATCAAATGACCATAATAAATATTTTTATTTAAAATTCTAATTTTAAATAATATATGCATAAAATAATATGATAGTAATAGTGTAATAGTTAAGATAGTTTATAAATACAAATAAATTTTACACTCAATCACATTATATTGAATCAACAGTGTGGCAGCTGTTTTTTTTTTTTTACATTACATTTTTTTTTTCATCTTGAAAACATGACGTATGTGTTTTTTTTTTCTTAAATAAAATCTCCAAACATCGTGATTGCTTGCTTATGTTTACTATCCTGTGGATGAAAAATCCCACCACGGTCGCGGGGTCACCGTGACTTCAACAGGCCTATAGTACACATAGAATGAACACGCGTACACGAGATGGTCGGTGTCTTCACTTCTCTCTCTCTTCCCCCCCCCCCTACCCTTCTTCAAGCTAATTGAAAAACAGACCTATTTCCCTACTTCTGGTCATTTTTTTTAAAGCTCGGTCATTTTTTTAAAGGTCGCACATCAGGCATGCTAGACAGCCAGCTGTATAAAAAAAATATTTTTTTAACTAGATCTACGTCTAGCTTAAAAAAATAAATAAACGCTTAACCCTTTGAGCCCTGGCCTCCCTGGCCTAGTTTCTCCCATTTCCTGAGCTCCCAGGGCCAAACCAATTTTCACTTATATGCTTCTAACTTTGCCTATAACTTTTGAACCGTTTGAGATAATCAAGCCAAATTTGGTATCCAGACTCAGGACCAAACCCCAAAGCAGAAAGATTGTGAAATTCTTTATTTGTTTACAATGTATGAACAGAACAATGTATATAAATCGAACACATAATTATTGTTTTGATAGAACATAGAAGAAAAAAATTTACATTTAGTAATTGTTTTGTTATTATTGATACCTGGCCATACTAGTTCATCACCAGAAGTCCACTTTTGTGTGATAACATTCAAAACAGTTATCACTGCCGGACCCGATGCAATGAAAACCTTAGCATGTTTTGCAACAGTAAACATTTTTTTTTCGTTTCGGCAAATCTTTGTCCTTGACACCACGTGCATCATAACGTACTTGAACAGTTTCATTGTCACTGTCAATTTCAATGTCACTGAGTTCAGTCTCAAATTCAACCAGGAATATTATCTTCTTCATCAGAATCAATAAGTAGTTGTATTGCCTGAGATGCAGTCATTCTACTTCTTTTGTTGATATTTCGGTCTTTTGCTTCATCTTTTGCACCAACTTTATGTGCTGAAGTCGATGGTCGTGGCTCAACTTTTCGTTTCGGCGGCATTGCTACGAAATGTAAACACTTTCACTTTTCCTAAAATCTATTTTTAGAATCATAATCACGCACTAAAAAGACATTTGCGCAGTTTTAGTCAGTGTTCCGCTAATTATATTTAATTAGATGGTATACCGGCCGCTAGGAATATGACGCTAGATCATCGGGCCGGAAAACCGGCTTTTCGGACATATATGCCTAATGTTGAAGCCGGTTTACCGGCCTGGCGGGCTCAAAGGGTTAAAATGCCCGTACACAGATTATTTAGCGCCAAAAAAAAAAGGCCGCTGAACGAGCATTTTTTAAAATACGCAGCAATGAAAAAGGCTAACGGCCAATCAATTAAGTCTAAAAATCGCCCGTAATTAGGCCTAGCTCTGAAAAAGGCCACTGAACGAGCATCACTGATTATATAAACGAATAGGCCACGCGGCATTGACGAGGTTAACCACCGGTCACGAATGCAGCAACGGTCGGCCCACAGTGAAGAAAAAATCAATATACTAATAAAATTACTAATACAATAATAATGTCCATAATTTTACTTTTTCCGCACATGCTACAATTGAATTATAATTAAATTACTAGACTTAACAGTTCATTCCGTAAAAAAACAAAAACTAGTTGTTTCAGTCTGGCAACTAGCGTAGCAATGACGTCATGATACTAAAAATAGCGAATAGAAATGTCAGCGTGGGTACCTCATTTTGGAATTAGATTTTGGAAAATAGAATCGATAATACTGTAAATATACATGGTAATTATCTCAATTATATATTAATTTAGTGTTATCAGAGCGGTTTTCCCCGTTATTGGGTCGTTTTTGGCCGTGGTTCAGTTTTTACGGAGAGTGCTCCACTAGAAATCCTCTCATTATTTACAAACACAATTCTCGCGATTTTTTCTGGCATTCTAAGGCATATTATCCATTTTATTAGTATCTTGTGTTAAAATAATGATCAGAGTTGGCGAGATAAACAGTTCTTTAATTTGTCGTGGATAGGACCCCTATAATAAACGTAGAAACCGTCAGAAAACGACGCGTGACGTTTCAGGGTCAGAGGTCAATCCAGCCATCTAAGCAACAAACCGGCCTAAAAATAACTTAATAAGTCGTGATTTTTAAACATTCATTTTATTCATTTGTGAAAACAAAAATACAATACAAATAAATAAATCGTGTTTTTCTAATGTTTTGGTGTGTTTCGGTTATTATAATAAAATACGCTCAACTGGAGGTAAACAAGCAACGGAGAATAAAATACGCTAAAATGGAGTTTTACCAAAATTTTTAAATTAGTAACTAGTAACTAAGTAGTTGGATGGGTAATCTATCGTTTTGGGTACGTAAAATCGCTCGCGGCTATTAATGTACGAAAACGTTACCTCATTATCAAGGCTGTAATAGAAGTATATTGTGATATGTTTGTGTCAAACATTATAGATAAATGAATAATAAACCTAAATCAATGGCTAAATATATCAATATAGACCAGAAATTAACTTTAAACAGCAGTGTCAGCAAGCAAGATTTGCTGTATAAACAGCAGCCATTTGTAAAATAGAGTGACTTCCGCCTGAATCTCGCGCTTTAAGTCTATAAAAATAAAACTTTAACAAGATGGCTACTATAGTAAATGAGCATGGTTGCATCTGTTGGAATATGGAAACATCGCTGGTGTTCATTTATTACTGAAAAGTTTTAATTCAATTGTTTAAAAACAGGTACATAAATGAAACAAGGAAACATTTTTGGGTAATCTATCGTTTTGGGTACGTAAAATCGCCCGCGATTTGTAATGTGAAAAACAGGTGACTCCTTACATTTTAATAATTATTTCACATTTTGAGGAAGATTTATGTTTTAAAAAATTCAAAAATGTTTCCTTGATTCATTTATGTACCTGTTTTTAAACAATTGAATTAAAACTTTTCCGTAATAAATGAAGACTAGCGATGTTTCCAACAGATGCAACCATGCTCATTTACTATAGCAGCCATCTTGTCTAAGTTTTATATTTATAAGCTTTTAGCGCCAGATTCAGGGGGAAGCCACTCTATTTTACAAATGGCTGCTGTTTATATAGCAAATCTTGCTCTCAGACACTGCTGTTTAAAGTTAATTTCTGGCCTGTATCGATATATTTAGCCATTGATTTAGGTTTATTATTCATTTATCTATAATATTTGACACACAAGTATGACAATATACTTCTATTATAGTCGATCTCCTTACCAAAACCGGAAGTCAGAACCTGACCCTGAAACGTCATGCTCTTTTAGTTTTCGCATTTTAAGTGTTTTTGGGGGGTCCTATATACAAAAAATGAAAAAACTGCTAATCTAGCAATATCTCATCACTATTTTAATGCGAAATGCTAAGGAAATGGATACTATGGCTTAAATGCCAGAAACATTTGCGAGATATGTAGTAATAATTAATACAAGCATTTCTTATGGAGCACTCTCATTAGGAACTGAACTGCAACGAAAAACGACCGACCTCCGGGCATCAGCGCTCGACAGCTCCTAGATAAATATATATTTGAGATATTTACCATGATTAATTACAATGATGCTGCTTCCCTTCTGCCAAAATCCAATTCCCCATAGAAATACCATGCCGCTGCTATTTTTAGCAACGTTACGCCATTGTTACGCTAGTTGTCAGATAGAAACAACTAATT